TCCCCTCATACGTCGGAACGCACCCGGCCACGTATGGGGTCTGTCAACACACCGGCTAATCCAAAGACACGTGCGACCTCAACACTGGGCCTGGCTACATTCTCACCAGCCCGCACACAATCATATCTCCCCTCATACGTCGGAACGCACCCGGCCACGTATGGGGTCTGTCAACACGCCAGCTAATCCAAAGACGCGTGCGACCTCAACACTGGGCCTGGCTACATTCTCACCAGCTTGCACACAATCATATCTCCCCTCATACGTCGGAACGCACCCAGCCACGTATGGGGTCTGTCAACACGCCGGCTAATCCAAAGACACGTGCGACCTCAACACTGGGCCTGGCTACATTCTCACCAGCCCGCACACAATCATATCTCCCCTCATACGTCGGGACGCACCCGGCCACGTATGGGGTTTGTCAACACGCCAGCTAATCCAAAGACGCGTGCGACCTCAACACTGGGCCTGGCTACATTCTCACCAGCCCGTACGCCGGGGTCTGTCAACACGCCGGCTAATCCAAAGACACGTGCGACCTCAACACTGGGCCTGGCTACATTCTCACCAGCCCGCACACATATCTCCCCTCATACGTCAGGACGCACCCGGCCACGTATGAGGTCTGTCAACACGCCGGCTAATCCAAAGACGCGTGCGACCTCAACACTGGGCCTGGCTACATTCTCACCAGCCTGCACACAATCATATCTCCCCTCATACGTCGGGATGCACCCGGCCACGTATGGGGTCTGTCAATATCCGGGGAGGTACATAGGGTAGTGCGTATAGCACTCCAAACTAACATTCTATACTCTTTGATACCTTCGTATACATACATAATTACATTCATCACATATGATCCTTTATTTCGTAAATCTCAACCCCGGTATAGCATATGATAATTCCGCAATTTAAATCATATAATAATATCCTAAATTCACATATAAACCATTTAACTCAACAACGCTCAAGACCTGTCACTAAGGTCATTCTAACCCTCCTGGGATGGTAGAACTACAACGAAAGTCTCGCGGTCAACCCACGGTCAAACTACCCAAACTTGGTCAAACAGGCCCACGGGGCCCACGACCTCCAAATTATGATCCGAAAGTTCCTATAGGTTCTACAAGGTCTAGGACACATGTCCTGCAAGTTTGGTCCAGATCGGACGGTCGGATCGCTCACGATCGCACGATCGGACGGTCACTAAAACCCTAACCCTAGGGTTGGCATTTCCGGAGTATCCGGAAATCCGTTTTACAATCCATTGAATCCTACATGATTCTAAGGATGTCTAGATTTACATATAATAAATTCAGGACCATCCAACGGTCCAAACCTAGTGAACCCGGATAACGTGCAATATGCGATATCCGTTCAGCACTCTAACGGTATCCAAATTGAGATCCACAAAATCCTACGCGCTCGTGGAGACCAGGAGATCATTTTAGAACCCAAAGCCAGTCCATTTTCCTAGCCCATACACCGGCAGCGCGTGGGTGCCTTGAGTAATTTTCGGCGGCCGGAAAAACTCCAAACCGCCGGCCAAGCTTCCTATCCTAGGTGTAAAACCCCATTTTGAGTCACTTTTGTTCTGGGACATACCCCGAAAAATGACCGGAAGTGGCCGGAATCGGAGGCCGAAAACTGGCAAAATTTCCATCGCTTAATCGATCTCCAAAACGCAGAAATCTCCCAAATCTAACACAACAGGCAGCAAGAACAGCTCGAGAGGTTCAAGATCCATACCTGGATCGTCGGAAATGGTGGCCGGACGACGACGAACGAACGGCTGGAATTTTCCTCTCGATCCGGTCGGTTTTCTGCAAAATCCGGCGACGTCGCTGCCGGCTGGCGTCGGAGAACAGGTGGGGAAGGACGGCGAAGTCAAGCCGGTCATTTTGGGACCGATCCCAGCCCAGGTGGTGGCCGGAGGTGGCGGTGGCAGTCGGTGGACTCACGGCTACAGTACCGGGGGGGGGGGGGGGGGGGGGGGGGGGGGGGGGGGGGTTTGTTTTTTTGTTTTTTCACAGGCCAGGCCAGAGGGAGAGAGAGACGAGGGCAGTTCCGTCTTTTTATCAAAAATCCATTTTCCAAATATTTACGATCCTGCCACTGAGCTTCATTCGATCGTAACTCTCTCGTTACAACTCCGATTCGAGCCTACTACATGTCCACAGACTCATCTCACCGTGCTCCACGCAACGGTATAACTGGAATTCCCAAATTCCTTTCGGATAAGAAAATGACTAAAATACCCCTATCCCACGGGTAAATTCTTAATTCCACTCAAATTAATTAAAATATGGGATAAATTTGGAGTTGGGGTGTTACATTGGGTAAATATTACCAAGGAAAGAATTGAAAATTTAAATTATGAAATCCAATTTCGATGAAATAATGCATTAAATTTAGATTTTCAATGTGTTTTCTTTATTTACCCCAATGGGTAAATCGACACAACAAAAAGGTAATAAAAGTCAAAGGACTTATATCTAAAACCAAAAACGCGTGGACTAAACTCAATGACAGCTAATCATTTTGGATCTAGATCGAAGAACTCCTTATATTTTCTACTCAAAGGTTCTTAAAGGGAGCTTCAAGCATTGATCAACACTTCTTCTCAACACCATTTAAGAAAAATATACTTGTAAGTGTCCAAAGTTGTTATTGTCATAATTATTGCTAGAGTGATTGTCTTTATGGTGCCTATAACACTAGTTTTAGAGGCATAGCCGTGCGGCTATACTCTTTAAATATATTTGAATATTTTAAAGTTATAGCCGGTCGGCTATACTCTTTAATATATCCCGGGTTTAGCTCTGATAATCCTTTTCCATGTAAACAAACAAAAAAACTGCAAAATCAGAAACGTACGTAAATTGGACGCCATGGTAGCCACTGATAGAGGACTCGAACTCGTCTGTACGAACGTCTAGGGCACAGAGCAAGCCCGTTCCAGATTTCGAGCAGTGTTCGAAAAATCGGCCAAGGCACTAGACGGGAGGACACCGACGCCAGGGAGTTAGGCGGCGCCTAGGCGGCCTTGAAGGATCTAGGCGGCGCCTTGGCCACCTGGGAGGATCTAGGCGGCGCCTAGGCGGCCTGGGAGGATCTAGGCGGCGCCTAGGCGGCCTGGGCGGATCTAGGCGGCGCCTAGGCGGCCTGGGAGGATCTAGGTGGCCTGGGCGGGTCGTGTCCATAGTTATAATCAACTTAGGCATCCATAGTTTTCCAAAAATTTACAAGCAGCAAAGACGAGATTCCTTCGATCTGGACAACTCTGAGAGGGGAAGCAGTCGCTGCCACCTGAAGAAAGGATCTTGCCACCGCTTCTGTCGCTGCCACCTGAAGAAAGGATCTTGCCACCGCTGTACAATCAACAAAACAAAACTAAATTTTCACAAAGAAGAAAAACAAACGCATTCAAATTTACAGATAAAAATACAGATAGAGAATTGTACGAACGGATTGCCATGTTGTAATTTCACGGAGAGAGCAAAATAAGAGAGGAGAGATTAAAATAAGAGAAGAGAGACAGAGCAACAGTATAAGATGGGAAGCTTTGCCTCTCTCGGGTGCTGAGGAACCTCTGTGCATAGTGAATGTGAAGATGATTGCTAAACCCATGCCTTTCTTTGCCTTTATTGATTTCTTTCTAGTATTAGAAGCCTAATGTTACTGTCTAATATTTTGACTACATGCCTATAAATTTTTTTATTTATTTAAATATTTTGACTGTACAAGTGGAATAGCACTGTAGGGTGGACGCTACTTTAGACTATGTGAATGAGTTTGATATTGAGGAGGAGGTAATAGTACGGGCCAATGAAATCTTCTTCAACAGATTCAAAGAAAATTTTGGTTGAAATTTTGTACACCTTATTTTGGAGGTAATATATGCATCATCCTTATGGCTTTGGAGAGAAAGAAAGGAAAAAGAAGTGAAATCAGAAGACAAAGATCCCCTGCTGACAGAAAAGCACCTTATGTTTATGAAAAGTGGTCACCTTCTCTCCAATTCCAATCTTCTTTTCTTGCTTGCAATTTGCACAGCTGAGGCTTCCCTCTGCTCTCTATGTTCTATGTATATGTCCTTTTCACTTTTGTCATGGTTGGTTTTCAATTTCAAACAAGTTCAATGAATCCAAGCCAACAGTCACAGACTCACAGCATGCGGAGGGCTAAGACTTTGCTGCTTCTTGTTTGACTTTTAAAGAGACACCAGGGACAGACAGATAGAGAGGTTTTGCCCCATTCTTTTGGTTTGGGCCGGCTACCGCCACAATACAATTTGCCGAAAGGAAGTTGGAGAATGATACAATGACAAACTTTGGTGTTGATTTGATGCCACTCTTTGTAATGGATGGGGTCCTCTCGTTTCAGAAGTTTCCGCTACACATTTTTTAAACCTCGGTATAGACTTGTGGTAAGTTGGTTAGAAGTTTATATTTTTCACATATGACATTCATAAAATATTTAAACGTAGAAGTGCATTTGCTGCAAAATAACTATGTTGACAAACTTATCTGGCAAGTTTTGTATGCCTACTTGGTACTTTTCTACAGTCCATGTGATCCATGTGTTTTGTTGTTTTTATTGAATATTCATAGATTTTTGCTTGTACCTTGTCACTCAAACAACGGGTAAGGAGGATAATGGAAGGCAACCGTCAGATGGGAATGGTAGATTAGTGTCACTGGTCCTTATGCTAGTTATTTAATTCACCTATACATGTTAACTAGGCATTTCTTATCATGAACAAATAATTGTGTCACTGGTCTTTTACATTCATTTTACAAATTATATTTCATTGGCTAAATAATCTGGTTGTTCATGGACTGTATGCTCTGGACTTGATTTCCTCTTATCTCTTTCATAACAGCATTCAACAGTTGTTGAAATTCTAGCATCTGTTTTTTATTTAAAATGATACAGAGAGCCAAAACAGTCTTTTCTCAACTACTGACTTAGTGAAATTTATGTTTTCCTAGATCCTTGCGATTCCAGCTGTTCCATTGACCATGTCAGCCGGTCTTCTTTTTGGCACAGTTGTTGGCTCTATTCTAGTCTCCATAAGCGGAACAGTGAGTAATTTTCTTTCCTGAGTGTACAAAGAACAAATTGTTAAATATGTACTTAGTTTGTTTTTTTCCTGACATTATTACCCATTTCAGGTGGCTGCTAGTGTTGCTTTTCTCATTGCTAGATATTTTGCTCATGAGCGCATTCTTAAAATGGTTGAGGGAAACAAAAAATTTCTTGCAATTGATAAGGCTATTGGAGAAAACGGATTTAGAGTGGTCGCTCTCCTTCGCTTGAGCCCTTTGCTTCCTTTTTCTTTGGGGAACTATTTATACGGATTGACATCTGTAAAGTTTGCGGTAGCCTGCCAAATTCATTAGCCCCATCCCCAGCTCTTCTATTAAGAAAACTATGTTGCAGAAGTTGATGCCATATTGTGTTTGAGTAGCTGCAGTTGCAAAAAAATAAGGGTACTCTGTTGAAGTACCTTTTGCCAATTTAAAATCACATGTAACTGTGTAGGTTGCAAGTTTATCCATATATATCTAAAATGCTTTGTTTTCCTAGGTTTTCTCCTCTTGTTAAGAACGCATGCCTTAGCTTAATTTTATGGAGCTCTAGTAATAGAATTTTCCCCTTAATGCTGTATTTTGAACATAAGATGCACCCTTTGGGGCCCTACCACAATCAACCCTTACCATGTGGTCGGAAAATAGGAACACATCTTCTTCCTATTTTACCTCTGGAATGACAGTTCTTGTACCTTGCTTGAATTATCTTTTGATAAAATCAGAAGACATATCATATGTAGGGTTTCCGTTTCTGTTTTATTTTTATTTTTTTAATAATGCTATAATTGACTTAATCTCATAGAGCTTTTGGTGAACAGGTTATGGTCCAGCTGGATATGCTTTGTTTGTAGCAGTTTATGCAGGACTGGAAGTATGCATTTGACACCCATTCTTTGAATATGTTGCTATCTCTATATGGATTTCCAGCCTAATCTTCTTTTCCCACTTGAATGCTCACCCTTATGCTAGTTATTTAATTCACCTATACAAGTTAAACATAACTAGGCAACAAATAATTGTGTTGTCCCTTTCGGTCTTTTACATTCATTTTACAAATTATATTTCATTGGCTAAATAATCTGGTTGTTCATGGGCTGTATGCTCTGGACTTGATTTCCTCATATCTCTTTCATAACAGCATTCAACAGTTGTTGAAATTCTAGCATCTGTTTTTTTATTTAAAATGATACAGAGAGCCAAAACATTCTTTTGTCAGCTACTGACTTAGTGAAATTTATGTTTTCCTAGATCCTTGCGATTCCAGCTGTTCCATTGACCATGTCAGCTGGTCTTCTTTTTGGCACAGTTGTTGGCTCTATTCTAGTCTCCATAAGCGGAACAGTGAGTAATTTTCTTTCCCGAGTGTACAAAGAACAAATTGTTAAATATGTACTTAGTTTGTTTTTTTCCTGACATTATTTACCCATTTCAGGTGGCTGCTAGTGTTGCTTTTCTCATTGCTAGATATTTTGCTCGTGAGCGCATTCTTAAAATGGTTGAGGGAAACAAAAAATTTCTTGCAATTGATAAGGCTATTGGAGAAAATGGATTTAGAGTGGTCACTCTCCTTCGCTTGAGCCCTTTGCTTCCTTTTTCTTTGGGGAACTATTTATATGGATTGACATCTGTAAAGTTTGTTCCATACGTGTTGGGAAGGTTTGCTGCCCTACTTCTTGTTCTCTTAGTTAAAGTTCCTACTTCACAAGTTGGTTGTTCTTATTGGCTGCTATTGAGAGTTAAGGCTATCAGATGGATTGAGCCGGATTTAGGACCTGTTCGAGCTCAGGTCAATTTGTTAGGCTCTTGGCATGATAAATGAGACAAGTATTTTAGCCCAAGCTTAACCCCGTCGTTAAGTATGTGATTAGGACCAATATATCAGCTAGTTCAAGGTCTTCATTTTTTCCATCTACTTTTTATCCCTTTTAGATTGAAGAGTCCCGACATATGACAATGCATGTTGTCAGTTTGAAGTAATAGAACTGAAAGTTAAAAGGGAAATGAATTGTTTTCTTGCTATTTTCAGTTGCAGTTTCCACTGATTCTCATGATGTAAATATTTTTGCTCCATTTCAATTATGTAAAGATTATTAAGTGTACCGTTAGGTGTCTCATATAGAAGATGTAGGGCTAAAATATCAAATAAAAGTTGATAAGTTGAGCATGATTGCACTGGCCCATCGGAAAAAGAATTATAACAAAGGACGGAGAGTATGGTGGTCATGACTCATGTCTGGTAGTTTACCTTCAGAAGTAGTTGATCTTTATATCATGAACTACTTTAAACATGTGTACGTAATATTGTAACATGTTTCACTCTGGTTCTAAGTCAATCAATACTTGACTTGCAGTTGGTTGGGGATGCTTCCTGGAACATGGGCTTACGTGAGCGCTGGTGCATTTGGGCGAGCCATAATTGTGAGTTTCTCTCTGTTTCTCCTGTTCTGTTGTGGTGGTTCTATGTGTGTGTATATATATATATATTATATTACAATTATTATTATTTTTTTCCCTTAATACTACTTTCTCTCTCTCCGTCGGTAGGGGATGGGGGTGTATGAATGAGTATGAAGCAAATGATTTATACTTAACCATACTGCAAAAACAGGATACATTCAATTTGATATTGACATTGATCAGATCAAAACAAAACAGCAGAAAAGAGAAATCATTGCTAATTAATGTCAACTATCATCTCTTTTGATGATATATTGCTATGCTTATTCTTCCATGATAAGAGTCCATTATAAAAATAGTTTCTTTAAAGCGACAATAGTACGAAATGACAACTATAGAACAAGTTATTGACTTATTACACATCATTATGTTATAAGAAAGCGAATCCAGTGGGATATTTTCTTAACGTCTTTGTACCTTGTGAGATATGTTTCCTGTCTGTAAGGTCTATGACTTGGGGTCTTTGTTTGTCAGCTTAACATGTTGCAATGAGTTAATATAAAGTAGCTCAGTGAGGAATATATAGGAGTAATGTATGTGACTTGGACCGCCAATAATAACGATCAGTGAAGGTGACCAGTGTAATACAAATGTAGACAACTCTAGTCCTACACATGCGGAGACAGATTTTATGTTAGGACGTGGCTGGTTAATTTTTACTGGGCAACTGCATTTAAATCGAACTCTCATTCTGTATGTAGTACTTTTGTATAAAGAGTGATTGAGTGAAAATCTTAGGAGGTTCTTACTTTATATGATAGAGTAAATGGTTCCCAGATCTAAGTCAGGTATCAACCTCTATATTATGTGGTTGATATAGTTATAAGTCTGGGAAAATGAAAGTTGTCAAATAACATCCAGATGCATTGGTGCTTTTCATGCTGGCATCTGCAACACTGGGCTCTACACATGTATTACTATTAATGCATATGCTTTTCATACAGTTACCATTGGGCATCGTATCATGTTAGTTACACTTGTTTGCAATCTTTGTGATGCCGGAACTTATAAATTGAATATTCAGAGAATTTTAGCAACTGTCAAATTGATTTAGAGTAGAGATAATTTATGTATTTTAATCTGTCTTTTGGGGGTTCATTTGACAGCTTTGGGTGAAGTCAGGATTAATTCTTAGGGGTCTTGTAAGAAAAGACACTTTACAAGCCAGAGCAGCTAATAATCTTGAAGCCGATAGGAATTTCTTACAGTTATTAACTTCATTGTGTTAAGTCCTCAGATTAGTTGTAGACTGGTGCTTCTCTTTTATCATAAATTTATGACTCACTGAGGATCAAAATTTGGTCTGGTGAGATGCTAGCTCGATTTATTTGTGAGACACATTGGATTATACGCTTGAGAATTTGTGATTCCTTTTACTAAGGTTCTTTAATTAAGGAAATTAATCGGTTTTCCATCGGGTTACTGGAGTTTCATTTCGATTCATTTGTTAATATTTTCCTGGGTGATGTTTCAGCAAGAAGAATCTGATCTTGGTTTGCCTGGAGGAAATGGTCAGCTACTGACACTAGGGTTTGGACTGTTAGCCACAGCGTTGGCTGCTGCTTATGTTACACGATTAGCAAAGGTACTCCCCAAATTGACAAGCATTTTCATTATTTGTTCCATATTTTTTGGTCTGATAAGAAACATGGCATTGCCAAAAGCTTCTCATTGTCTGGTTTGAGAAGGCAAATATTTTTACCCATATTGAATTGATTTTCTTTGTGCTTCTGGTGCAGGATGCTGTAAAAGATATCGATTAGCCTAATCGGATTAGGTGACGAGTCTCAGTGTGCCCATGAATTCTACACAAGATATTTCAAACTTTAAAAAAGAACCAAAAAAAAAGAAAAAAAGAGAAAAAAAAAGAAAAAAACCACTGCCCTGTAATTATTTAACTTTTGGCAAATTGAATAGGAAATGTTTTGATTTTTATTCTTATTATTAATCTTAAATTGTATAATTAAATCCACGATAATAATATGCTACAGTCACTGTTCCAGCCTTGATTAGCTTTTGTTGGTAGAGGAATCACCATCTCCACGTGTCTTATGCTGAGCATTGACAAGCGCCTCCTCCGTTGTCCAAATTACACTTCAAATAACATGCAATATTTATTATTATTTTTCTTTTTCTTTTTTCCATATTTTTTTTTCTATTTTGGTGCTAAGACTTTCATTCAGCCAGCGGGTCAAACGAAATAGCTCAAACTCTTTCCACGACCTCACCTTTGCATGCAAATCACATCCTTTCTTGCGCCATCTGTCATGGCTTAGCAAAAAACAATTGCTATAAAATCAGTCTGCTAGTGTTCCTTTGTCACCGATTAACACCAAACCAAAGGAAACCATTCTCCATCAAAACTTCAAAAATGGCGACAACTCACGCACGAGTCCCCGGTGAGCCAACCCCGACGGGCATGGCCATCCTCGAGACCGCAACGGCCACAGCCCAAAGCTTCAGCCCCATCAACAGCATCCACCAGCACCTCTGCGCCTTCCACTTGTACTCCCACGACATGACCCGTCAACTGGAAGCCCACCACTTCTGCGCCCACCAAAACGAAGAGATGCGCCAGTGCCTCATCTACGACAGCCCCAAGGCCAATGCAAAACTCATCGGCCTCGAGTACATCATCTCAGAGCTCCTCTTCCTCACCCTCCCCGACAACGAGAAGCTGCTCTGGCACTCGCATGAGTACGAGGTGAAGAGCGGCGTTCTCTTTATGCCGGGGCTACCAGGCCCCATCCAGAGGCAGGACCTGGACAAGGTGTGCAAGACGTACGGGAAGACGATTCATTTTTGGCAAGTGGATAAGGGGGATGAGTTGCCGCTTGGGATTCCGCAGGTTATGTTGGCGTTGACCAGGGACGGTCAACTGCGGCCGGAGCTTGCGATAGATGTTCAGATGAGGTACGGGGTGAGCTTCGATGAGGAGAGAGAGAAACGAGCGTACATGGCGGGGCCGAAGCTTGGGGTGCATCCTTTGGCTAATGGAGGAGGGAAAGGGTTGAAGACTGAGCTCAGGGAGACCGACTGCATGCCTGTAGATTCTGTTCCCAGGGTCTTTGTTTGAGTCCACTATATATATATATATATATATATATATATATATGTATGTATGTAAAATGAAGCTTCTACATGTTTTTTCAGTGTAATTTTCTGCTCCTGTATATATATATATATATATAGGCACTTACAAAACTTTTCCATTATTTGTAGTTTTTTAAAATATTTTTTTTTCACTTAATCATCTTGGTTGGTATATTTCATTTAATAAAAGTGTACTTTTCTGAGTTTAGGATTTTGATTTTAAAAAATTATTATAATGGGAGGGTAAAACTTATAGCTCCCACGTCCAAATGACCTAGAAAAAAAAGCAATTTCATTCCTTTGGATGTTCTTCTTTTCCCTTTTCATTTAGTTAGTTACCCGATCAAATTGCTCAAATTTGTCTGCCAGGAGTTCACCTAATGCATGCAAATCAGATCCTTGTTTTGTTAGTGCCGCATGTCAAATTGTTCCAAAATCCCAATCCTTGATAAAATCTCTCCTTGGAACAATCTCAAACTGACTTTCTAATTTCTAATACTTTCTCCTATATATATATATCAGAAGCAGTTCTTTGATAATGGAATGGAATGGTCTACTCAAGATGCCTTGAAACCCTACTTTAACACTGTTGGTAAATTCTAATACATTATTGGTCTGAAATTTTTAGGAGCATATAGCATCGATCTATCTTTGCATCCGATGTCTTGTTTGATTCCCTTCCTCCCTAATACCACTTGAAATAGAATAATATAAAGTCTCCCCTGTTCCCACTCAAGGCAAACACCAGAGTCACAACGCATGAGGTGGGAATCGAACACAAGCTAAAGGAGCTAAAGCACGAAAAAGCAGACGAAGATGGAGGCAGAACGCTAGAATAGAATCAGTACCTTGGGAGTAATATTAAAAAGAGTGTGTTATTGAAAGAACTCAGAGAAAAAAAATCTACCAACGCATTAGAAGAGTGCAAAAGAAGTGAGGATAGAAGGCCAAATATGGCTTCAGCTACAACAGATCTCTTGATTGGCAAAATTGTAGGCATCCTCGAGAATGAAGCATCCGCCATAGCCGGTGTTGGTGATCAAGTTGATGAGATAAAACAGGAGCTTCTATACATGAAATCCTTCCTGAAAGATGCTGAGGGCAAGGAACCACACACGGAAGGAGAGAAAACGTGGGTTACAATGGTGAGAAATTTGGCCTTTAAAGCTGAAGTTATCATTGACAAATTCATGTATGACATGTACGAGGAGCAAAGTCAAGGTAGATTCGCGAGGTGGCTCCAGAAACCCATTCACCTTCCAAAGATTCTTTGGTATAGGCGTCAAGTCACGATTGAGTTACAGAAAATCACAAGAACGATCAAAGCCATTCCAGAGAGGAATCAAAGATATGGTGTTGGTTCCCTAAGCAGTTCGTCTAATGATAATCACAAATGGGTGAAGAACCAAGCGGATCAGTCTTCTCTTTTCATTAAGGAAGATGAGCTCGTGGGGATTGAAAGAAAGAAGCAAACATTGATGGAAAGGCTGATGAGTGAAGAACGACACCAAATGGTTGTGTCCGTGGTCGGTATGGGAGGATCAGGGAAGACCACTCTAGTTGCCAAGACCTTCACCGATGAAACTATAAAGAGATATTTCGACTGTTATGCATGGATAACTGTTTCCCAAACCTACGTGATTGAAGACTTATTTAGAAGCTTGATCAAGGAATTTCACCGATCAAGAAAGGAAGAGGTCCCTCCAAGCATAAGTTCTCTTGAACATACAGAACTGGTAGAGATGCTTCGCAACTACTTGGATGCTAAAAGGTACCTTGTTGTACTAGATGATGTGTGGGATATCAAACTTTGGGAAAGAGTAAGGATATCGCTTCCAGATAGAAGAGCTCTTGGAAACCGGATCTTGCTTACAACTCGAAATCAAGAAATTGCATTGTATCCTTTTGGAGTAGAAAGCCATGTTTATCGAATTGAACTCCTGGAAAAGGATGAGGCTTGGGAGCTCTTTAACAAGAAAGCATTCTCAACTTATCATGAGCAATGCTGTCCACCAGAGTTTGAATCATTAGCTTCGGAACTTGTGGAAAAGTGTGAAGGCTTGCCTCTTGCAATCGTGGCCTTAAGTGGTGTTCTGTCTTCCAAGGGGTCCCCTACAGAGTGGAGCAAAGTGTACAACAGCTTGAATTGGCAGCTAACAAACAACCCTTTGCTAAAACCTATGACGACCATCTTGTTGCTTAGTTTCGATGATTTGCCATATCAATTGAAGCATTGTTTCATGTACTGTTCCCTTTTCCCAGAAGACTATTTGATCGATGGAGAAAGGCTCATTAGATTGTGGTTGGCTGAAGGATTTGTTGAGCAAGTTGACGGGCTTACACCGGAAGAAGTTGCAGAGAACTATCTTATAGAACTTATTCGTCGTAGCATGCTAAAAGTTGAAGATCGGACTGACATGGGAAAGGCCCTAGCATATAAAATGCACGACATTTTGCGGGAGCTTGCTCTATCCATGTCACAAAAAGAAAATTTTGCTGCAAACTACGTTGGGAGAGAAATGAGAAAGGTTACAGCACGTCGTTTGTCAATTCAAACAACTGAAGGAGAAATTAGCTCAATAAAAGGTTTGTCAGAGCTCCGTTCTTTTCTTTTCTTTGTCACTAGCACATTTTCACTGCCTTCTAGATCTAAATTGTTGAAGGTTCTAGATTTGGAGAAAGTCCCCATTGATAAGCTCCCAAGTGGATTAGTGTATTTATTTAACTTGAGGTATTTAAATTTGAGGGGAACTTCAATTAAGGAGCTTCCAAAATTTATAGGAAGACTTGGAAACCTTGAAACCTTGGACATATCACACACCAAAATAGAAGCACTTCCAAGAGGAGTTTCCAAGTTGTTAAACCTGCGCCATCTACTTATGTACCATCACACTTGGGACGACGTTGGATTTAAATACCTCAAGGGGACACGAGTACCATCAAATATTAGTGAGTTGAAGAAATTGCAGGTGTTGGAAAAATTTGAATCAGACGGAAACATTGCAGGACTCATTGGAAGTATGACCCAACTTAGACAGCTTGGCATTACGAATGTGAAAGGAAGTGACGAAATGGACCTCTGTGACTCGATTCAAAAGATGAAGCAGCTTCGCAACTTGAGTTTGACGGCAACGAATGCAGATGAATTTCTTAAGGTCGACAAGCTATCTTCACCTCCTCCACATCTTGAAATTGTTTCTTTAGCTGGGAAACTGCACAAAGCACCAGTTTGGTTTTGTTCACTGCAAAGCCTCACACATCTCCATCTGCATTGGGCTAAACTTGAAAACGATGAGCTACTACCTCAAATTGAAGCATTGCCATGTTTGGCAAGTCTTGACCTTTTTAATGCCTACATTGGGAAGGAGCTGTACTTCGGTGGAGGCTTTCCAAAGCTTACACGTTTAGTTTTGTCTAATCTCCTCTTTTTGAGTAAGATCACTATAGAAAAAGGGGTTATGCCAAATCTCAAGTCTCTATTTCTTAATAGCTGCATTGAATTGAAGACATTGCCACTGGGTATTGAGTACCTTCTTAATCTAAACACATTGGAATTGGTGTATCTTCCAACGCAACTTGTAGACTCCATACGAGAAGGAGGTGTGGATCGTCCAAAGGTGCAACACATTCCCAAAATCCACAATTATTACACAACATCGTCTGGAAGTACGTCTTATGAAAGCCTGTCCTATACATAGATAGCACCACGGCAGGTGAGTCTTCTATGTATCCTTACATTGCTTTTCTACTTATTTTTCAACAGCAAAAATAAAAATAAAATAAAAAAATGCTTCCAAAAGTTTGAAATTTGATTTGGTAATGAACTATGCTCTTGTCTTGTTAGATTGTTTTGCTGCACCCAGTTTGGCCCATGAAGAACCTGCAAAGAGTTTGCCTCTTCTAATAAATGGCGTCCCAGCCAGATTCTGTTCAAAAGGTTCACCTTGTTATTGTTTGTTTGCATGAGATAATACTGGAGATGGAATGTGTGTGTGTGTCAATTCTACGTTAGCAGCGTGGGTTGAACATGAAGATTCGTTTTTAAGATTTGGACCATGTATTCTTAATTTCATGTTACTTTGGGCATATCTAAATAATTAAAGCTTCGTACTTGTTTGCCATCGATGTTGGATGTTTTTTTTGTTTTCAAGCCATTTAATGATTTATTTAGTTTTTGAGTAGTTACACCATTCAATGGTGATTATTTAGATCATTTACAATGAGAGAAAGTAATAATCATTTACAAATAGTGAAATTACCTGTAAGATGACTAATAATGCCTTAAAAGGGGTGAATAGGCCAATTTAAAATTATAATCAATAAATAAAAATAAACTTTGGTAGCATGATTGATATGATTTATTAATCTTGAAACGTGCTGAGTATAAAATAAAGGAACACGCAGAGAATTATTTTACGTGGTAAAACCCAACCTCTGGGGAAAATCCACGGGACTCCTCAGTTCAAAACAAATCCACTATAGAACGATAATTATAAGAAGTACGACTCACACACTTATTCTAGACACATTCTAGATAATGTTTACCGACTTCTTCGTAACTCAACTTTTGTAATGAGATGATTTTTCGACACTCCTTATGTTGAATGCAATACTGGTCATGATTGCTTCAAGCTCGCCGGAGACAAATTGCCACCACGGTTTTGGTGCCCTCAACCGTATGAGTCATCGAACATGCAAATGAATTCAATATGAATAATAAAAGTATTTGATAAATCATTAAGTAAACATCGAACACTTAATGACTTATCTCAACTATATGCACAACAACTTTTCTTGAGAAATTTAGATGATCAACCAAAACATGTGAAAGCTGTGTCAAAAAACCAAGAAGTCATGCTATGTCTGTGCACAAGGCAATGAATGAGATTAATGAATGTAATTTGTTTGAATTTTTTTTCTTCACGATCTTACATATGGGTGTAGTTTATAGGTTTATTTTGGGGTAGAAAAACACATTTTGAACTCATTATATTGTAGGACTATAAGTTTTTAACAGCCTGACATCGAATTTTCTATTCTTAATAGGTTTGTACATAAGATATTTTTTTAGAACGTACGTAAATTAAGTCCACCATGTTTCCAAATCATGGATTTGTCCCTGGCTTCATTAATTGAAAGGACTGGAGTCCTTGGAGTATGCTTTCAAATTCGTTTGAAATAAACAAAACAGTAAAAGAAGAGGCCCCACACAACAAGAAATTTTTGTACGTGCCAGCTCCAGGTACACTAGACGGTGTGAATCCACAGAAGATAACTGAAATTGGGTGGAGGAGCAGCATGCAAAAGAATGATGGCATCCAGAAACGAATGTCATTTCATTTCCTACTTTGACATAGTGGAAAATCCACGCCATAAATTATCGCCTGAAGCAGTAGAGAAGGACAAGAATTCATGTACTATCTTGTCTCTTGATAGCCTGTAGACTGTGGTTTTCGTTGGAGTATAAAGAAAGTGGTAGCCTTTTCGTCTTTTTGTTTTTTTTTTCAGGGTGTTAAATAGAATGTACTACCTTAGCCAAGGTCTCCCTCCCTCCCACCCCCAACACTTTTATATCTACATGTTATTTTGGATTCAATTACGAGGAGATAATGCATTAAATTTAGATTTTCAATGTGTTTTCTTTATTATCCCAATGGGTAAATCGACATAACAAAAAGGTAATAAAAGTCAAAGGACTTACATCTAAAACCAAAAAAGCGTGGACTAAACTCAATGACAGCTAATCATTTTGGACTTAGATCGAAGAACCCCTTATATTTTCTACTCAAAGGTTCTTAAAGGGAGCTTCAAGCATTGATCAACACTTCTTCTCAACACCATTTAAGAAAAATATACTTGTAAGTGTCCAAATTGTTATTTTCATAATTATTGCCAGAGTGATTGTCTTGCATTTCCTATTCGAAATGGCAAGATGGTACCTGTAACACTAGTTTTAGAGGCATAGCCGTGCGGCTATATTCTTTAAACATATTTGAATATTTTGAAGGTATAGCCGGCCGGCTATACTCTTTAATCTATCCAGGGTTTATCTCTGATAATCCTTTTCCATGTAAACAAAGAAAAAATTTGCAGAATCAGAAACATACGTAAATTGGACACCATGGTAGCCACGGATAGAGGACTCGAACTCGTCTGTACGAACGTCTAGGGCACAGAGCAAGCCCGTTCCAGATTTCGAGCAGTGTTCGAAAAATCGGCCAAGGCACCAGACGGGAGGACACCGACGACAGGGAGTTAGGCGGCGCCTAGGCGGCCTGGAAGGATCTAGGAGGCGCCTTGGCGGCCTGGAAGGATCTAGGCGGCGTCTTGGCCGCCTGGGAGGATCTAGGCGGCGTGGGAGGATCTAGGCAGCGCCTAGGCGGCCTGAAAGGATCTAGGCGGCGCCTAGGCGGCCTGGGAGGATCTAGGTGGCCTGGGCGGGTCGTGTCCATAGTTATAATCAACTTAGGCATCCATAGTTTTCCAAAAATTTACAAGCAGCAAAACAGAGAAAAGACGAGAATCATGGAGATTCCTTCGATCTGAACAACTCTGAGAGGGAAAGCAACCTCTTCTGTCGCTGCCACCTGAAGAAAGGACCTTGCCACCGCTGTACAATCAACCAAACAAGACCAAATTTTCACAAAGAAGAAAAACAAACGCATTCAAATTTACAGATAAAAATAGAGATGGAGAATTGTACGAACGGGTTGCCATGTTGTAATTTCACGGAGAGAGCAAAATAAGAGAAGAGAGAGAGAGCAATAGTATAAGATGGGAAGCTTTGTCTCTCTCGGGTGCGGAGGAACCTCTGTGTACAGTGAATGTGATTATGTGAAGATGATTGCTAAACCCTAGATGTCTTTTTTTGGTAATTAGTTTATTGAAGATGTTGGCTTACAATAAAATAGGTCATTTAAATAAGTAGATCCAAAGCACACCCAACCCAGCAAGCTGGCCCCTAGATTTGGCCCTCTCTCAGTGGTCCATTATAAACTAGTTGATGTAGTCTCCCTGGCTCGGCTAGATTTAACTGAACTCTTTGAGATGATAAGATAGAGGGCTCTTGGAAGTGAAAGCAAAGCTAGTTAGGCTGCAGTGCAGATACCCTTTTGTTGCTGATGGAGGAAAGGGGTAATTGATCCCATCCCTTAGAGAAGGAGACAAATGGAACCATTTAATTCTTTTTATCTGCAGCAGCATGGTGTGTTGTCTGGTCAAAATGGGGACATAAAAAAACTGGTATTAGTTTTAGGAGTGCAGAGAAAAGTGGTCACCTTCTCTCCAATTCCAATCTTCTTTTCTTGCTTGCAATTTGCACAGCTGAGGCTTCCCTCTACTCTCTATGTTCTATGTATATCCTTTCACTTTTGTCATGGTTGGTTTCAATTTCAAACAAGTTCAATTAATCCAAGCCAACAGTCACAGACTCACAGCATGCGGAGGGCAAAGACATAGACAGATAGAGACGTTTTGCCCCTTTATTTTGGTTTGGGCCGGCTACCGCCAGACAAAAAGAGATTCAGCTTTGGATGCTTCTCCTCCTAAATCCTAGCGGGTTGTTGGACAAATAACAGTATAGCCGAGCGGCTAGACTCCTTAAATATATTCAAATATTTTAACGGTATAACTGCAAGGCTATGCTTCTTTAATATATTCGAAAGTATAGCCGCGCGGTTATACTCTTTAAATATGTTCCTAAAACTCACAGAGGAATGTTGTCCGCGAGTGAAATGATGAGACAGAGAAACGAACACGAAGCTTGCACTTGCAGACACAACCATTTTGCTTCTCTATAAGCGTTTCCAAGTATCAAAAACTCGGTCTCGAGGCTCTCTCTCAACTCAAGCTTCAATTTGTTTTTTCTTCAGTTTCAGTTGCTGATTCGATTGGTTGGGTTCTCTCAATGTCTGTCGAGGCAAAGCCTTTGTCCTCCGAGTTCGGCACCTATGTGCCTGGTGACGCGGACGACAACATTTCGGTGAGTGTGGTTTCTCTTGTTTGGTTGTTGAGAAAATGTCGGGAAACCATGAAGAAATTGAGTAATTTGTTTACCGGAAGGATCCAATTCGGTTTAATTTCAAATTAATGTTAGAATTGGTGAAACTCTTTCAATCAGATCAAAAGTAAAATAGATTTTTGTTGTTATAAAAGACAACATTCTAACAAGGGGTGCATTGATTCATTGGCAGACCAACACAAGACACACTGGTTCACCAATTGCAAGCCTCTTCTTTGTAATTGGTCGATGGTTCGTTCATGTAAAGCCAACCAAGTAGAAAATGCAACAAATTTAAAAAGCCTTTATTTTACATGTTTTTGGGGAAGCAAATACAGTAGCACATCGTTTAGCACATGACTTATTGGTAACAAATTTTATTTTTGTTCACCCTATGGTAGAGGTATATTACATACTGTTGTAGATATATTATCATATGGTGTAAGTATATTGTTCTATTGCCTATTGCAAAGGTAATGAAAGTCAAAGGACTTACATCTAAAACCAAAAACGTATGGACGAAACTCAATGACAGCTAATCATTTTGGACCTAGATCGAAGAACCCCTTATATTTTCTACTCAAAGGTTCTTAAAGGGAGCTTCAAGCATTGATCAACACTTCTTCTCAACACCATTTAAGAAAAATATACTTGTGAGTGTCCAAAGTTGCTATTGTCATAATTATTGCTAGAGCGATTGTCTTGCATTTCCTATTGGAAATGGCAAGATGGTGCCTGTAACACTAGGAATAGCCGTGCGGCTATACTCTTTAATATATCCAGGGTTTAGCTCTGATAATCCTTTTCCATGTAAACAAAAAAAAACAATTGCAAAATCAGAAACGTACGTAAATTGGACGCCATGGTAGCCACGGATAGAGGACTCGAACTCGTCTGTACGAAAGTCTAGGGCACAGAGCAAGCCCGTTCCAGATTTCGAGCAATGTTCGAAAAATCGGCCAAGGCACTAGATGGGAGGACACTGACGCCAGGGAGTTAGGCGGCGCCTAGGCGGCCTTGAAGGATCTAGGCGGCGTCTTGGCGGCCTTGAAGGATCTAGGCGGCGTCTTGGCCGCCTGGGAGGATCTATGCGGCGCCTAGGCGGCGTGGGAGGATCTAGGCGGCGCCTAGGCGGGTTGGGAGGATCTAGGCGGCGAAATAAAGTATAGCCGAACGGCTATACTCTGCAAATATATTCAAATATTTTAACGGTATAGCATACCCACGGCTATACTGCTTTAATATATTCGATGATTTTAAAGGTATATCCGCCCTGCTATACGCTTTAAATATGTTCCTAATGAACACGAAACTCATAGAGGAATGTTGTCTGCGAGTGAAATGAAGGGATAGAGAAATGAACACGAAGCTAGACACAACCATTTTGCTTCTTTATAAGCGTTTCCAAGCATCAAAAACTCAGTCTTGAGGCACTCTCTCAACTCAAGCTTCAATTTTTTTTTCTTCTTCAGTATCAGTTGCTGCATTGATTTGATTGGTTGGGCTCTCTCAATGTCTGCCGAGGCAAAGCCTTCGTCCTCCGGGTTCGGCACCTACGTGCCTGGTGACGTGGATTACTACATTTCGGTAAGTCTTGTTGGGTTGCTGAGAAAATGTCGGGAAACCAGGAAGAAATTGAGTAATTTGTTTACCGGAAGGATCCAATTCGATTTAATTTCAAATTAATGTTAGAATTGGTGAAACTCTTTCGACCAAATCAAAAGTAAAATAGATTTTTGTTGTTATAAAAGACAACATTCTAACAAGTGGTCTATTGATTTCATGAGAGACCAACACAAGACACACTGGTTCACCAATTGCAAGCCTCTTCTTTGTAATTGGTCGATGGTTAAAAACCGTCCATGTAAAGCCAACCAAGCAGAAAATGCAAGAGGACTTAAAGACTCCACTACCATACTCCCCAATTACACTCCCTTAAAGGAAGTCCTGTATAATAGGAACTTCTACTTACAGTTGTTCTTCCTACTGAGAGGAAGTCTATAAGGAGAAACAGTTATGCTAAGAGGAAATCCAGGTAGAATACAACATTTTGAGACCCTTAATCAAGTCCTAACTAAAATACGGGGATTTAACGCACGTTTACAAAGCCTGAGATCCCATCATACATAACAAGTCTAAAACTATGGTTTCTCTTAAGGGACTTTTGTTGTAGTTTTACTTGTCGAAAAGAAAGCATAAGGAATGTTTCCCCACACACATGATAGTGGCAGCCCGGTCATCGACGATTCTACAATAGGCTTTTGTGATCCATGTGTTTTGTTGTTTTTATTGAATATTCATAGATTTTTGCTTGTACCTTGTCACTTAAACAACGGGTAAGGAGGATAATGGAAGGCAACCGTCAAATGGGAATGGTAGATTAGTGTCACTGGTCCCTTTCTTTCCCTTTTAACTTTCTTAAGGCATATAAAGTTTGACCCAAAGTACAAGTTTCACTGATTTTTGCTTGTTTTTTTAATTTTGTAGGTTATCATTGATTCTTCGACAGGTTCAATAGCTGATTTTTCTTGTGAAGTGGAAATTACCAAGTAGATCTTTCAACCTCCTCTTTTCCTACTTAATTTTCTAGTGTGCAGAATGTCATTTGTAAACTCCGCTACCATGCTTCCTCCTTTTAAAGAAAAAAATTTATTATTTATGTAGGGGTGAACCACTCCCAAATGGACGTTTCTATTTAGAGGTTAGATACGAGTGTCTTTCACTTCAATCTGTACTTTTGCGCTCTGTTTACATTGTATAATTCGATCTTGGGACCAAGATGGGTGAGTGGTCTTTTGAGATGTCTAGCCATTCATTTTAATTACTGCTCTTGTTCAATATTTGTGTCTTTTGATGTACTCCTCAAGTACCATATGACAAGAGCCGCATGCTTTCATTGTCTGATACATTGATTGTAACCTATTATTAATATTAATAGAAATATAGACATTGTTTTTCTCAATAGCTATAGACCTTTTTCGTTCTAGTATGAATTCTATCAGTACACTCCTTCAAAGAGATGACAGAATGCTGGTATAGCCGGCTGGCTACACCTTCTAAATATATTATATTTAAAGAGTACAGCCGTGCGGACATACCATTTAAATATCATGTTCATAGCATAATACGGCTATACTATTTATTGAAAAAAAAGAGGCCAAAAATGGCAATACGAGCTTTATATTTCCCTCCCTGCCTGGCTCCCTTCGCCGAATCATTTCCCATCAAAGTCTTCAAGTTCAAGGCCAAAATAGAGGTGGGCAATTCCTCATTTGAGCCCTCATGGCGTCTCCCAAGAAATCAAAGAAAAGCAAGAAAGATAGGAATATTGAAGAAAAACTTAAGCTTGGTTCCAGTCGAGCCTGAAGCCCCAGACTCTGGCTGGTGGGATAGTTTCTTCAACCCAAGGTTTTTCTTTTCACTAAGCTCAGTCTTCAATTACTCTGCTTCCTGCTTTTTAGTGGAATGCATTCAGATTACTTGTAGTTTTAACTAAATTATCTTTATATTTTGCTTATTTTGGAAAATCTATGATGCACAGAAATCTAGAACAGGTGGTGGATTTTGTTCTGTAATGTTAAATTCGGTAATGATGTTCATAATTAGAGCTCAAAACCTATAAACTGTGCTTTTTTTCAGTTAGGCTGTTGGAAAAATGGGCCTAGGCGCTAGGCGGCCGCCTAGGCGGGTGTCCTTTTTTTTTGTTTTTTTTTCCTGACTTTAGCTAAATTATGAACTCGCTTCAATTTCTGATGGCCACTATACAAAAATTTGCTTTTGATTATGTGTTTTGCATCCTGAAAAGAGAAAGATGTGGTCGAAAAGTTATTACTAGAGGAGGCAATAGAGATTTTAGCATGTAAAAGTAGTATGTAATTGTTAGGAATCTGGGTTGGCCTAAGTTGGATGAGTAGTTGGAAATCCTGACTGAATCAGACTTGGAGAATATACAGACATTGAAACACATAGTCGGGCTTTGCTTGTTGTCATAGTCTATGAAGCCGCAATTCACCTCTGGAAGGTTGACAAGTTTGACTTTGTTGTCTGCCTGAGTGCCTATATCGACTTCGTTTTTGGCAGTGTTGAAATTGGATTAGTCTTAGCGGTACGTATCATTATTGTGTGTGACAGTAACACTATATCTATCAACTTAAAACTATGCATTAGAACTAATATTTCTTTTTTCTTCTGTGTAGGTTGCAATATCTGTGATCAGGGTACTTTTGTTTGTGGCAAGGCCAAGGACTTTTGTTCGAGGAAACCTTCCGAATTCCATGGTTTACAGAAATGTTGAGCAGTATCCCAACGCAAGCAATGTTCCTGGAATTCTCAAATTCTCATACTTGAGATTGATGCTCCCATTTACTTTGCAAATACCAACTACTTAAGAGAAAGGTACTAATTAATTAAACCAAAGTAAGAACTAAAGATTTGGGGCTTAAGATAGATAATAGCAAGTATAGGGACTAAGGTTTTGTTGAGTTGTTCTTGAGGTGGTTGTACTATCTTTTTGTTTTCTGGTCATGTTTATGTTCTAGTGAGTCAGAACTAAAGATTTGGGGCTTATGATAGATAAGTGGCTTATCTATGGGACTGGGAAAGAGACATCCCACTTTGTTTGAGAAGGTTTGAATCAGACATTTGATTTTTATGATGATTGCACAAATTTTCATCTACAAATTGATTGAATAACTAGTGTAGTGCTTCAAGTTACCAGTCGCTTCTAACCAAGGTGCTTTCTGATAGTGTCACCATACTCATTAAACATAGAGACCCCTGTGTGTCATCCGTTTGATTCTAATAATTTCCAAGTGTTAAGTTGGTTAACTGTTCTAGCGTTTGAGCCATAAATTACTGAAACAGTCTCATGATGAAAGAATTGATTGCGTTCTCATGATTATTTGTGATCATAGAAACTGGTCTCCAGAAATCCTTTAATCTTTCTCTGATGTATTTTGTTTCATTTGTAGGCACACAGGTTGGAGAGGACTTGATGAAGGCATTGTTGTAGTTGGGACTTGCATGATTTAAAAGCCACAATGGCTGGTTGCATGTCAACCCCATCCAAAACAATTAAACCACGGAGAAAACACTCTTAGCGGGTCATCAAACGCCATAGAAAGGCAACCTGCTCTGCCTCAGATGGTACCAAGAAAAGAAATACCAGTTTCAAGAAAATAAATAGTGATGCAGGAGGTCGCGTGAGTGACTATGCTGTCAATGAGTTTGTTCATGTGGACTTTGAGAATGGTGCAACAACTACTCACAGAAGATCTAAGGTTTCTAATTCAACATTCCATCTCACCCAGCTGCAATGACACCACAGTCAATATGATTCGAATGGTGTGTGCTTTCTTTCCTCAGATTTCAACGATCTTTCAATTTCAACCAATAGTGCTGACAAGAAAATTCATAGCTCTTGAATCTCATATTTTTAAAGTTATTCATTTGCAGTAATTTTCCAAGAGGAAGCTTGGTTTGACTCGGTGAGTATTCTGGAGTCTGACTCGGAAGATGACTTTATCAGTATACATGGAGGTATTGGCCATCAGCCTGTAACTACATATTACAGAATGAAAGCCTTGTGGTCTTGATTGATTGCAAAACGCCATTACTACTGAAGTAATTTTTCTTGAGCTACTTATTGGAAAAGGATTTTGTTTTGTTTTCTTAATTTTCTTCTCTTATTCTACAGATGGTTTTCCATTAGCAAGCAATCCAGTTTGGAATATCTCAAGTGCCCAAGTACTTCAGTACGAAAGATCTGCTAGCTTTGTTGATAACGGGTGCAAGTACGAAGAATAACAAAGCTATGTGAAAATTGATGGAGGTAAATCACATAAAATCACAGACAAAGATGAGCGCAAGGAATCAAATTGGTTTTCGCTTATTAATAGTCAGGGCTATGAGCTTTTTTACTTAGGGAAGGCTGATGAAGTTTGCAGTAAGAGGAAGAATATATTAGATGACTCTTATGGAAGCTTTAAAGGACTTACAGAGGATGGACGTGATTCTAATGAAAAAATTCAAGACAATGCCCTGAAATCCGGCATATCTCAATTGGTACCTTCTGTAAGTTTCAATGATAAGATTCTAAGTGCACAGAGTTTGGTTCCACAAGTCCCAGAGAAAGCCATGGGCCGTTTTCATACTTTCTTTTAAAAGGAGATCCTGTGATGCAGAAGAAACCATTGAACAATGTAAGCATTCAAATAATTCAATTTTCTTTGAATAGAAAGAAAACTTAGAATATTGGGATTGATGTACATGTATATTACTGAACATTTCAATGATATATCCACAGGTCAATCAAAAAGGTTTATGTATCGGCCTAGACCAGGATATATCATTCCATGTTGTAGAGTAGAGAAGCCGACTTCAGGATCTTGGTCTGAGATTCCACCCTCAACTTTTAAATTCCGTGGCGAGAACTATTTCAAGTATGACTTTGGTTTTTTCTTTTGTCAAGACCAACCTTAACTGAATTTAGACATTTGCAACTAATTACTCTGTTCTGCCTTGCTAATGATAATATTATTTTCTGTTGGTCTACCATCCAGAGATAACGAAAGTCAACTGCTCCGAACTACAGTCCATATAACTCCTATAGGTGTTGATGTGTTAGTATGCCCCAAAAAGATACATCACATTGCCCAGCATCCTGAGCTTCCCAAAGTGAAAGCAAATGGGAAGTGTTCATTGTAAACATACAGGTATTTTTTCAGAATTGATTTATCTTGTTATGTTTTGTTTGTTATATTTGGTCAATATCTAATGATATTGCTCTGCGCCTTGTTGCAGTTGCCTACTTATCCTGCTGCAATGTTTCTTGGTGATAGTGATGGAGAGGGGATGAGTCTTGTAATGTATTTCAAAGTTTCTGAGAATTTTGATAAAGACATCCCTCCTCAATTCCAGGACATTATCAAGGTAACTTCATTTTGTATGCAACTTCATCCATTTGGATAGGCATGTACTTTATTATGATGGAAATGTGATCTTGTGTTCAATTGGAACACTCAGTCTGTTGATATATTTGAATGATGCTTTTAGAAAATGGTTGACAATGAGACAGAAAAAGTTAAAGGATTTGCAAAGGACTCCACTGAACCTTTTAGAGAAAGACTAAAGATCTTGGCTGGGGTGGTAAATCCTGTGGATATCGGTCGGAGTTCTGCTGAGAAGAAGCTTGTACATGCATATAATGACAAACCAATTCTTTCATGCCCCCAGCACAATTTTTACAAGGTAAACATTGAACATTTATGTTGCTGAGTGTTAAGAAGATGAAACAGAAAAACCATGTTGTTTGACTTTATCGAGCTCTCTCACACGCAGGGTCCTAACTACTTAGAGATTGATCTGGACATTAATCACTTCAACTACATATCAAGGAAGGGTCCCGAATTGATTTATGAACGTCTTAAAAAACGGAATAGCCGAGCGGCGGTGATATCTTCTAAAATGCTCTATTTATGGAGTACAGCCAGGCGGCTATACTATCTTTTAAAATATTCTGTTTATGGCTTATAGCCGCACAGCTGTACTTTTAAATATTCTTTATAGAGTATACCCGAGCGGCTAGGCTGTTAAAATATTCTTTTTAGCCTTATTTAATTACTTTCATTTGTAATTATGTTTTAATCAATATTTATTTTGTGAATAATTAGTATTAAATATTTTAATTAACTTCATAAATATATTACTTAATAAATAGTAATTGGTTTTTTTTTAAATTTTTTTTCTTTAATAAAATACTTAAATACTAATTATTCACTGAGTAAATAATGATTAAAACATAACTACTAAATAAAGTAATTAAAAAAGAGAAATTCAAATTATGATATTTCACGGCTATAGGTTTAAAATATTATGTTAATGGAGCCTTACGAAAACAAATTTATGTCCGGAGTGCTAAATTGAATCAATAAATTTGTGATCATGAAAATACTTCAGTAATTCACTGACTCACTTGAGAAGTTATTTTGTCCCTTGTGTACATATCCACATGACATGTTGATGTGATTTATCAAAATTTTCTCAAATTATTATAATTCGTGCACGATAGTTATAAAATCCAAATTCTATAAAAAAAGAAGGAACAATAAGAGAAAAAATCATAGCCAAAGGTGGTTCATATGGCAGATCCAAAGAATCATATGAAGATGAATCCATTCTCGTAGAAAGGTTAGAATGGTGGTTTATATTTTATGGAAAATAGTATAGCCGGTCGGCTATACTCGGGTTTTTACAAATTTATTTTAAAAATAGTATTTCTACGCGTCTATACTAGGTTTTTTCCTAATTTTATTTTCAAAATAGTACAGCCGGGAATTTTTTAAAAATAGTATAGCCGCGCGGCTATACTTGATTTTTTAAAAATATTCTGGCGAGTTGGACTCGAACTCATCACTACGAACGTGAGGGCACAGAGCAAGCCCGTTCCAGGTTTTGTGCAGTGTTCGAAATATCGGCCTAGGCGCTGGGAGGGAGGACACCGATACCAGGGAGTTAAGGGGGGCCTAGACGGCCTTGGAGAATCTAGGCGGCGCCTAGGCGGCCTGGGAGGATCTAGGCGGCGCCTAGGCGGTCTGGGAAGATCTAGGCCTTCCTGGGCGGGTCCGGGCGCCAGGGCGGGTGGGTCGTGTCCTTTTTTTTTCCAAATGAAGACAGACGAAGCTTGCTGGTGCGAAGGAGCAAAGGTGACATGTATAGGGTACTCGTCACAATCAATATCATACACTGTGACCTCCTGGTTCTTTATGCCTAGTTTACGAAATTCATCAGCCTCCAACAATGGCAAGATGTGGCTTTCCACGTCTTTTTTGCACATGTACAACGTAGTTCGTGTCACTCACTATATGCCAACTGCTTCTCAAAACGCTTGCTGCACCTTGTGATCTTGTTTTGGTGGCTTGGGGGGACGTCAGGAGGGGCATGGCCTCCTTGTTCTACTTGTTGCGGTTGTTGAGGCAGAGGCATGTCCTGTGCTGCCATGACTGCATGTTCTTGGGCTGCAGGTTCGTGAAACTGAGGTGAGACTTGGAGGCTCCAACTTTGTTCAAGTTCTTCTTGTTGTTCAGGCATGCCCTGTGCTGCAATGACTTCTTGGGCATGTTGGGTTCCAGAGGATAAGAAGGGACATACTTGTTAATTCCAGAGGAGGAGCCTTGTACTAGTTGTGCTGGTGCAGCAACTTCAGTTTCTTGAAACTGACCAAACTCTTGGAGGCCTTGGGCTGATTGCGGATAATAAGAAGGGTTAATTCCAGAGGAAGAGCCTTGTTCTAGTTGTTGTTCTGGTGCAGCAACTCCAGTTTCTTGAAACTGACCAAACTCTTGGAGGCCTTGGACTGATTTTTGATAACAAGGGTTAATTCCAGAGGAAGAGCCTTGTTCTAGTGCAGCAGCACTTGCTGTGGTTCAATTTCTTGAAACAGTGCTGCAAAATCTTCATTTTCTTTCTGTGGTTCAATTTCTTGAAAAAGTGCTGCAAAATCTTCATTTTCTTGCTGTGGTTCCATTTCTTGAAAAAGTGCTGCAAAATCTTCATATTCTGGCGCAGCAACTTGCTGTGGTTGTTCTTGTGGAGCAATGGCTTCAACTAAGGGCTTCAACTTCAGTTTCTTGAAAAACTGATCTGAGATATTCTCGCATTTGTTGATTTGAAAGAATTTCTTCTTGCCTTTGCAATTCTCTTTCCGCATCTTCTGCATGCTCTACATTGGGAACAGCTGCTGGAACTTCATTTGGGGGGTCTTCATTATGATCATCAGCCATGCCTGATAGACTGATAGTGTTGTTTTCTTTCACAATGGTGCTTCTGATCGCAAGAGAAAAAGAGTTTCTTTGGGAGATAAATTTGGTTTGGGAGACTAATTTGGTTCAAGAGAAATGGGAAATGGGAAATGGATTTTCTAGACAGTTCAAGAGATTTCTTGATAATGGAGCCCAAATTACATATTAGTCTCCGGACTAAATCTGTTATAACTAACTATATCGGCCTAGGCGCTAGGCGGGAGGACACCGACACCAGGGAGTTGGGGGGGGCTAGGCGGCCTGGGCGGGTCTGGGCTCCAGGGCGGGTCGTTTTTTTTTTTTTTTTTTTTTTTTTTTTAATGCAGACAGACGAAGCTTGCTGGTGCGAAGGAGCAAAGGTGACATGTATATAGTGTGTTTCTGTTGTTGAGAGAGTGAGAATTGGGAAGCAAATGAAGAGGGAATGAGAGATTTATAATTCCTGGTGGTCTTGGTTGGGGTAAAGATGATTTCTGTTCAAGCCCTGAAGCTGAAAGAACCTCCTGCACTGATATTTTCTTTGTCAATAGCTCTTGAAGTTGTTGCTTTGTTATGAAGATCTTAATCCTTCTTGTAGCAGCCCCTGTCCTTTTCTGTAACATCCACATATGAAATAATACCTGCACTGATCGCATCACTTGCAACAGAACCCAGAAGAGGAATCATATAGTAAACCTTCCCAAGCTTCAGTTTGTAATTAGGAGGGAGAAGCTCTGAGGCTTGCTTTGATACACTAATACCAGAGCCCGAAAAGTTCATCAACATGTCCTTAACAAAAGTTGGTGCCCTGAATTCTAAAACTTTCCCATCTGTCTTCACAACCCTCAAAACTTTCTCCTGCTTGGAGAGAACAAAACAGTTGCCCATTTTTCTTCAGAACTAGAGACAAGCTATATATGTGTATATAGTTATAGTTCTAGCTAGTACTGGGATAATGGAGCCGATTGGGAGATATGCGTAGCTCTGAAAAGGTGATCCTATAAGAGAGAGAGAGAGAGAGAGAGAGAGAGAGAGAGAGAGAGAAAGAGAGAGAAAGGATTTGTAGTTATAACTTATATTAACTATTGCTGGTGCGAAGGAGCAAACGTGACATGTATAGTGTGTGAGAAGGAGGAAAGGTGACATAAAATAAGGAAAGGCAAAAGTAATGAGGGGTTTGTTTCGTGTGAAATGAAAGGAAGAGATAGAAAACTGTGTTTCTGTTGTTGAGAGAGTGAGAATTGGGAGGCAAATGAAGAGGGAATGAGAGATTTATAATTCCTGGTGGTCTTGGTTAGGGTAAAGAAAAGAAAAAGATAAATTAGTCGTCAACATGCGTGCAGGGAGAGGTCGGTTAGGGGAGGGAGGCAGATTGGCATTGCTCACCCATGCCTTTCTGCTTTATTGATTTCTTTCTGGTACTAAAAGCCTAATGTTACTGTCTAATAAAGTCACATAGAAAATTCTTACATCTTCTCCTCTGCAACTACATGCCTATAAACTTTTTAATTTATTTAAATATTTTGACTGTACAAGTGGCATAGCACTGTAGGGTGGACACTACTTTAGACCTTGTGAATGAGTTTGATATTGAAGAGGAGGTAATAGTATGGGCCAATGAAATCTTCTTCAACAGATTCAAAGAAAATTTTGGTTGAAATTTTGTACACCTTATTTTGGAGGCTTGTAGTGTAGATATGCATCATCCTTATTGCTTTGATGATGTCAAAAGAAGCATATTGTTCCAATTCTGGAATGAAGAGGGAGACAGCTTCAACTAGTTTTAGCCTTTTAATTAATTAGTTACTGGCAAAAGAGAGATAAAACAATAATTAAATAAAGGAGGTTAGGTGGGACTTAACTGAGCCCAAGAGAAACATCTCATTTTTGGGGTCTCCACTGAGGGAAGGTCATTATCTGTAATATATGCATCATCCTTATGGCTTTGGAGAGAAAGAAAGATGGAAAAAGAAGTGAAATCAGAAGACAAAGATCCCCTGCTGACACAAAAGCACACCTAACCCAGCAAGCTGGCCCCTAGATTTGGCCTTCTCTCAGTGGTCCATTTTAAACTAGTTGATGTAGTCTCTCTGGCTCTGCTAGATTTAACCGAACTCTTTGAGATGATAAGATAGAGGGCTCTTGGAAGTGAAAACAAAGCTAGCTAGGCTGCTGTGCAAATGCCCTTTTGTTGCTGATGGAGGTAAGAGGTAATTGATCCCATCCCATGAACAACAACTTACAACTTACAAGTTAGAAGTTAGAGAAGGAGACAAATGGAACCATTTAATTCTTTCTATCTGCAGCAGCGTAGTGTGTTGTCTGGTCAAAATGAATCCAAGCCAACAGTTACAGACTCACAGCATGAGGAGGGCTAAGACTTGCTTCTTCTTGTTTGAGGTTTAAAGAGAGACACACCAGAGACAGAGACAGACGTTTTGCCCCTTCTTTTGGTTGTTGGAGAAATAACGGTATAGGCGGGCGGCTATACTACTTAAATATATTCGAATATTTTAACAGTACGGCCGACCGGCTATACTCTAAATATATATTTTAAAAGTATAGCGGTGCGGCTATACTCATTAAAAATTGAATATGAAAAAACGTATGGCCGCGCGGATATACTCGTTAAAACAAAATAAAAATTAGTATAGCCGATTGGCTATACTCGTAAAAAATAATATAGCCATTCGGCTATAAGCTTTAAAAAATTAAAAATAAATACAATAGTGTATAGCCGGCCGGCTATACTCGTAAAAAAATAAATATAATAAGGGTATAGCCATGGGTCTCAAGTATCAATAGGAGTTGACTTCGGGGTAGGCCAATCTACAGTTTCTCAGGTGACTTGGAGATTCATTGAAGCATTGGAAGAACGTGCCAAGCACCATCTCAAGTGGCCTGATTCCAACCGAATGGTAGCTATAGGGTTCACTCAGACATATGGAGTTGATTATCATGATACTTTTGCACCTGTGGCTAAGATGAATACTGTCAGAGTTTTGTTGTCCTTAGCAGTTAACTTGGATTGGACCCTGAGGCAATTTGATGTAAAAAATACATTCTTACATGGTGAACTAGAAGAAGAAGTGTACATGAGTCTTCCACTAGGGTATAGGGTTACCGGTGAAATAGGGAACGTATGCAAATTGAAAAAGGCGATGTATGGGTTAAAGCAGTCTCCTCGGGCATGGTTTGACAGATTTACGATTGCTATGAAGAAGTTTGGTTACCAACAGGCCAATACTGATCATACTCTATTCATTAAACATAGGGCTGGTAAGGTGACTTTGTTGATTATTTATGTTGATGATATGATTGTGACTGGTGATGATACTGTAGAAATCGAGCGACTGCAGAAACGTTTAGCATATGAATTTGAGATGAAAGATTTGGGCAGTCTGAAATATTTTCTAGTTGTGGAAGTCACTCGATCTAAACATGGCTTATTTCTTTCACAAAGGAAGTATGTCATGGATCTGCTAGCAGATACTAGAATGCTTGACTGTAAACCAGCTGATGCACCTATTGTTGGGAATCATAAACTTGGTGTTTATGTGGATCAGGTCCCAACTAATAAAGAAAGATACCAAAGGTTGGTTGGGAGATTAATTTATTTATCATTGACACACCCTGATATTGCTTATGCTGTAAGCGTTGCTAGCCAATTTATGCATTCACCTAGTGAAGATCATATGGCTGTTGTGATGCGTATTTTGAGTTACTTAAAGTCTGCTCCTGAGAGAGGTTTATTATTTAAGAAAAATGGTCACTTGGATCTAGAAGGTTACATTGACGCAGATTATACAGGGAATATTACAGATAGACGTTCTACATCAGGTTACGTCACCTTTTTTTTGTGGTAATCTAGTTACGTGGTGTAGCAAGAAGCAAAACGTTGTGTCTCGATCCTCTGCAGAGTCTGAGTACAGAGGGATTGCCCAAGGGGTTTGTGAAATACTATGGTTGAGGTGGTTACTTGCTGAAATTGGGTTTAGACCGAATGTTGCTACAAAGCTCCACTGTGATAATCAGTCTGCATTTGAAATTGCTAACAATCCGGTGCAACATTATCGAACTAAGCATTTAGAAGTTGATCGGCATTTCATTAAGGAGAAGTTGGAGCATAAGTTAATTTCTATACCTTTTGTGCCTTCTTCAGAGCAGCTTGCAGATATGTTGACCCATGCCGTGTCAAAGCGCCGATTTGAAGACTCACTTGACAGGTTGGGCATTACCGATATCTACGCACCAAGTTGAGGGGGAGTGTTGGCGTGAGTCAACGTTCCTATTAGGAATAGAATTTATATTTTATTGTAATTATCTAATTTGAGTAGAATTAGGAGATTTTGTACTTATTTCCTATTTGTAACCACTCTGTATGTAGTATATATATTCCTCATTGAGAGAAGAATAAATATATCAGTTTTAAACCCTAATTATTTTGAGTCCAGCTTCCATTTCCGATGCCGTGCATGGGGCTGCAAGGTCACTTATAGTAACGGCATTCTCGCAGTTAAAGGGCACTTGGAGAATCCTTAACAAGGTCATGTGGAGACCTGATAAGCGGAAACTTCCAAGCATCATTTGTTGATGTGTAAGCCTTGAGCTGAAAACCTTGGAGCCAAAGTCACAAAGTTTGTTTTAATTTCATTTTATATGTTTTAATTTCTGTTTGTAATGTGAGCCACTGGATCATAGTCCCAAGTGGACTCTCTTTCTAGTCTAGGACTTAAGTGGCAGCTAGTGACAAATGTAAGCATCTCATAGGATGATAGAAGCAATGGCTAGGATTCAATTTTGATGTAAATCCGTTAGAGAAGCATCTCACTTCTCTCTCTCTCTGCTAACAATATATTGGCTAGTGGAGTAGAAATGAAAAGTCATCTCCATTTTTCTATTTCAGAGCAACGTTCTCTTCTTCATACTCTCTGTGTGATTTCTTCCTTCCTCCCAAACATCCAAAATATTCAAAAACTAATTACTGAAACTATGAATTCTAACATCATCTTGGTGTGTTGTTTACTTCACAATATAATAATTGATAGTGGAGATATATTACAACTTAGTGATGGCCTCGTCAGCTTCTTCCAGCTGCCCCTTCACGTTTTCAACTTCAATACCTTTGCCCTTTTTGCTCTTTTCAGTAATCTCCACCTTCCTCTTCAGGTCTTCCACGGTTATTTGAAGGGTTCTTAACTTTTGTACATCAGCATCAAGTCTTTCTAGAATCCTTCTCTTGTTGCCTTCTTGACGGGGATCTAAATCTCTTAGAGATCTCTAATTTGTCCACGCCCAATTCCTTCTCAACCAATGATTTTGAAGAGGAATATTTATTCTTGTGTTCCTTTAAAAGACTTTCTGGCTAGAAGACCATACACGGTGGCATTGAAGCACAAAACATAATTGCATTAACTCATGGGTGCGTGTCTAGTTTATGAGATGTGGCGTCTGCAAGCACATGCTTCTCAGGTGCTGTTGTACACTCCTTCAAAGACATGACAGATAAACGAAAATCAGGGGGGAGGAAAAAAGGATGCCAGTATAGCCGCACGGCTAGACATTCTAAACATATTATACTATTTAAATGGTCGGCTATACTGTTTTTTTTTAAATTTAAAAAAAGGCCAAAAATGGCTATACGCTTTATATTTCCCTCCCTGCCTGGCTCGCTTCACCGAATCACTTCCCATCAAAGTCTTCAAGTTCAGGGCCAAAAAAGAGGTGGGCAATTCCTCATTTGAGCTATCATGGCGTCTCCCAAGAAATCAAAGAAAAGCAAGAAAGATAGGAAAATTGAAGAAAAACTTAAGCTTGGTTCCAGTCGAGCCTAAAGCCCCAGACTCTGGCCGGTGGGATAGTTTCTTCAACCCAAGGTTTTTCTTTTCACTAAGCTTAGTCTTCAATTACTCTGCCTCCTGCTTTTTAGTGGAATGCATTCAGATTACTTGTAGTTTTAACTAAATTATCTTTATATTTGGCTTATTTTGGAAAATCTATGATGCACATAAATCTAGAACATGTGGTGGATTTTGTTCTGTAATGTTAAATTCGGTAATGATGTTCATAATTAGAGCTCAAAACCTATAAATTATGCTTTTGTTTAGTTAGGCTGTTGGAAAAATGGGCCTAGGCGATAGGTGGCTGCCTAGGCGGGTCTAGGCGGGTCCTTTTTTTTTCTTTTTTTTCCTGACTTTAGCTAAATCATGAACTCGCTTCAATTTCTGATGGCCGCTATACAAAAATTTGCCTTTGATTATGTGTTTTGCATCCCTAAAAGAGAAGGATGTGGTCAAAAAGTTATTACTAGAGGGAGCAATAGAGATTTTAGCATGTAAAAGTAGTATGTAATTGTTAAGAATCTGGTTTGGCATAAGTTGGATGAGTAGTTGGAAATCCTGACTGAATCAGACTTGGGGAATATACAGACATGCTGTTAGTGAGTTTGTTTGTGTGGACTTTGAGAATGACGCAACAACTACTCACAGAAGATCTAAAGTTTCAAATTCAACATTCCATCTCTACCAGCTGCAATGGCACCACAGTCAATATGATTCGAATGGTATGTGTTTTCTTTCATCAGATTTCAACTATCTTTCTATTTCAACCAATAGTGCTGACAAGAGTATTCATAGCTCTTGAATCTCATATTTTGAAAGTTATTCATTTGCAGTAATTTTCCAAGAGGAAGCTTGGTTTGAATCAGTGAGTATTCTGGAGTTTGACTCGGATGATGACTTTATCAGTATACATGAAGGTATTGGGCATCAGCCTGTAACAACATATTACAGAGTGAAAGCCTTGTGGTCTTGTCTGATTGTAAAACATCATTACTGCTGAAGTAATTTTTTCTTGAGCTACTTATTGGAAAAGGATTTTGTTTTGTTTTCTTAATTTTCTTTTCTTATTCTACAGATGGTTTTCCATTAGCAAGCAATCCAGTTGGGAATATCTCAAGTGGCCAAGTACTTCAGTACGAAATATCTGCTCCCTTTGTTGAAATGGGTGTAAGTATGAAGAATTCCAAAGCTATATGAAAATAGATGGAGGTAAATCAGATAGAATCACAGGCAAAGATGAACGCAGGGAATCATATTGGTTTTCGCTTATTATTACCCAGAGCTATGAGCTTTCTCGCTCAGGGAAGGCTGATGAAGTTTTCAGTAAGAGGAAGAATATGTTAGATCACTCTTATGTTAAATTCAGATTATGATATTTCAAAGGTATAGCCGTGCGGCTATACATTTAAAATATTATGTTTATGGACTCTTACCAAAACAAATTTATGTCCGGAGTGCTAAATCGAATCAATAAATTTGTGATCATGAAAATACTCTAGTAATTCACTGAGTCAATTGAGAAGTTATTTTATTGCTTGTGTACATATCCACACGACATGTTGATGTGATTTATCAAAATTTTCTCAAATTAATATAATTTGTGCACCATAGTTATAAAATCCAAATTTTACACAAAAAGAAGGAACAATAAGAGAAAAAATTTAGCCAAAGGTGGTTTTCATGTGGTAGATCCAAAGGTTCCTATGAAGATGAATCCATTCTCTTAGAAAAGTTAGAATGGTGGTTCATATTTTTTGAAAAATCGTATAGCCGAACGGCTATACTCGGTTTTTTTTTCCAAAATTTTATTTAAAAATAATACTTCTGCAGTAAATTTTATTTTAAAAATAGTATAGCCGGGCGGCTATACTTGTTTTCCCCTAATTTTAAAAAATATAGTAGAGCTGTTTAATTTTTAAAAAAAATAGTGTAGCCGTTCGGCTATATTGGTTTTTTTTTTAATATTCTAGCGAATCGGACTCGAACTCATCACTACGAACATCTAGGGCATAGAGCAAGCCTGTTCCAGGTTTTGAGTAGTGTTCGAAAAATCGGCCTAAGCACTAGGCGGGAGAGGACACCGACACCACGGAGTTAGGAAGGGCCTAGGCGGCCTGGGTGGATCTTGGCGGCTCCTAGACGGCCTTGGCGGATCTAGGCGACGCCTTGGCGGCCGGGGTGGGTCTGGTCTAGGCGCTAGGGCAGGTCCTGTCCTTTTATTTCCAAATGAAGACAGACGAAGCTTGTTGGTGCGAAGGAGCAAAGGTGACATGTATATAGTGTGTGAGATGGAGGAATGGTGACATAAAATAAGGAAAGGCATAAGAAATGAGGGGTTTGTTTCGTGCGAAGTGAAATGAAGAGATAGAAAACTGTGTTTCTGTTGTTGAGAGACTGAGAATTGGGAGGCAAATGAAGAGGGAATGAGAGATTTATAATTCCCGGTGGTCTTGGTTGGGGTAAAGAAGAGGAAAGGATAAATTAGTCGTCAACATGCATGTAGGGAGAGGTCGGTTAGTGGAGGGAGGCGCATTGGCATTGCTCACCAATGCCTTTTTGCTTTATTGATTTCTTTCTAGTACTAGAAGCCTAATGTTACTGTCTAATAAAGTCACATAGAAAATCCTTCAATTTCAACCAATAGTGCTGACAAGAAAATTCATAGCTCTTGAATCTCATATTTTTAAAGTTATTCATTTGCAGTAATTTTCCAATAGGAAGCTTGGTTTGACTCGGTGAGTATTCTGGAGTCAGACTCGGATGATGACATTATCAGTATACAGGGAGGTAATGGCCATCAACCTGATGGAAATGTGATCTTATGTTCTATTGGAACACTCAGGCTGTTGATATATTTGAATGATGCTTTTAGAAAATGGTTGACGATGAGACAGAAAAAGTTAAAGGATTTGCAAAGGACTCCACTGTACCTTTTAGAGAAAGACTAAAGATCTTGGCCGGGGTGGTAAATCATGAGTATATCGGTCGGAGTTCTGCTGAGAAGAAGCTTGTGCATGCATATAATGACAAACCAGTTCTTTCACAGCCCTAGCATAATTTTTACAAGGTAAACATTGAATATTTATGTTGCTGAGTGTTAAGAAGATGAAACAGAAAACCCATGTTGTTTGACTTTATCAAGCTCTCTCACATGCAGGGTCCTAACTACTTTGCGATTGATCTGGACATTCATCGCTTCAGCTACATATCAAGGAATGGTCTCGAATTGTTTTATGAACGTCTTAAAAAACGGAATAGCTGAGCGGCGATATTCTCTTCTAAAATGATCTATTTATGGAGTATAGCCAGGCGGCTATACTCTCTTTTAAAATATTCTGTTTATGGCTTATAGCCGCACGACGGTACTTTTAAATATTCTGTTTATAGATTATAGTCGAGCGGCTGTACACTTTAAATATAACAATAAAAATCTGGATTTCTCTGTAGCAAAGCTGAGCCTCGAGATAATGAATCAATTAGACCTAGTATGCATTTACGTTCTAGCTTTGTTCCTCTGTGGGTGCTTAGGGTTGAGAGAAAATTTATGCCTTGTTTGTGTGTTGCATGTGTATGAGAAGTGACATAATGATGTTGCTTATCTTTTTAGGTGCCCTTTGTCATATTTCCTAATACATTCGAATATTTAAATGGTATAGCGGTGCGTCTATATTCGAATAATAATATAATTACTAATTGAAGTAATTATAAAAGGCTAAGATATTACTTAAAGAAATATATGTTAAATTTAAGAAGTTGGGCAAAAAATAAAAGTAAAGAAACTAATTTTATATTTAAAAAAAAATAAATAAAGAGCAAGAAGACCTGTGGCGATGACATTTCGTCCACACATGTCTATGCCGGCAACTATTTGCCGGATTAGACCTCTCCCGAGGAAAGTTTCCTATGCCGACGAAATGTTGTCAGGAGGGGTTTTTGTTCCATTAATGAGTACATATCTTGTGCAAGTTTTTGTTCCAATATACGATACTTTACTTTGTACCAAACAGATATTACCTAATTGACAAAGTGGATGTGAAAAAAGCAGGTGACTTGTTTTCTATTTGTAAACACGGATCCTATAACGTGATGCAAAATTGAAATAAAAATACAAGTTACAGAGAATGAAAACGACATTGACAAGTTAAAGGTAGCGTTAGCTGCTCAATTTCATGAGAAGTAATAAAGTTCTGCAAATATTCGAATAACAAAAGCTAGGATGCAAGCATAGAGCTCAAAGGTTTACAGATAAGCCTCCGATATTCCAACCCACAAACCACTTTCACCCTACAGATTGCATCAATTGGTAAAGTACAAGGGCATCGCCAAAATCGAAGTCCTTTATGATGCCTCAGCAATGATAGAGAGCTCCACAGACACTTTCTCGGCTATTGATTTGATCTCTTTCACTCTCTCATCAACTAACTGCTGGAGTTGCTCCTCCTGATTTGGTTGATTCTCATCTATCTGAACAGTACTAGCAGCTTCACCAGCTTGTGACCTGAACATCACAAATGACATCTCGGGTTCATAAATGCTTGGAACTTCAATCACTTGCTTCCCACCAGTCCCAGAATCTTTTCCGATAAGATCATCCTTCATGCGGTTAGAAATAATTCCCACAAAATCATCCATATAGCTGTCAACATGATCAAGGCTGAGATAAAGGAAAACCTCCCACCACTGAAGAAACTGTTTCTAGTTGATTTTCAAACTTTTCCGGACATCCTCAATGACTCTAGTGTCTGGCATGAGTCGAGGAGGGTGTGTCTTCTTTGACAATTTTCCTTGCTTTAGTTGCGAAACTGCTGAGCTGACTGCATGCTTGATTGGATCGAACTTATGAAGGCGCAGTACATCAACACAAGTGCGTACATGTTCAAAGTAATCCAATGGTTCATCAACTGTGAGGTCATAGACGTTTTCAGATATTGCAACATCATTGAGAACCTCAAGAAGGTATCGTCCACAACCCTTGTGTTGATAAGGAGGCAATACCAATATCTGCCATCAACAAGCAGGCTTGTTAAAACTCAACAGCACCAAGATTGCACAAAAACTGAAATTTATTTGAACTACGGAAGCACCAAGCTGTTTCTCTAGAGCATGCATAACTAGGAACTGATATATATAAAGCAACATATTGTAGATTTCCCCCTGCTGATCTGTTTTCCTCTGGATCAGGACATACGACTACCTAATTCAAAAAACAACAATTGATGTCATATTCTTACATTCCCCCTTCCCATCTTTTCTCCATAAAAGTAAGAAAATAACAGTGTTCTCTGATGATGTGAGATAGGTGATAAAATTACCATCAATAAGAAGAAGAACAAGAGGAATCAAGTGACTGTAAAGGTGTGCAGCATGCAATACAACCAAACGAACAACCTGAAGTTGGCTATAGTATAGTACTTCCACGCGGCTATACTAGGTTTTTTCCTAGTTTTATTTTAAAAAGAGTATAGCCGCGCGGTTATACTCTTTAAATATGTTCCTAAAACTCACGGAGGAATGTTGTCCGCGAGTGAAATGATGAGACAGAGAAACGAACACGAAGCTTGCACTTGCAGACACAACCATTTTGCTTCTCTATAAGCGTCTTGGCCGCCTGGGAGGATGTAGGCGGCGCCTAGGTGGCCTGGGAGGATCTAGGCGGCGCCTAGGCGGCCTGAAAGGATCTAGGCGGCGCCTAGCGGCCTGGGAGGATCTAGGTGGCCTGGGCGGGTCGTGTCCATAGTTATAATCAACTTAGGCATCCATAGTTTTCCAAAAATTTACAAGCAGCAAAACGGAGAAAAGACGAGAATCATGGAGTTTTCTTCGATCTGAACAACTCTGAGAGGGGAAGCAACCTCTTCTGTCGCTGCCACCTGAAGAAAGGATCTTGCCACCGCTGTACAATCAACAAAACAAAACCAAATTTTCACAAAGAAGAAAAACAAACGCATTCAAATTTACAGATAAAAATACAGATAGAGAATTGTACGAACGGGTTGCCATGTTGTAATTTCACGGAGAGAGCAAAATAAGAGAGGAGAGATTAAAATAAGAGAAGAGAGACAGAGCAACAGTATAAGATGGGAAGCTTTGCCTCTCTCGGGTGCTGAGGAACCTCTGTGCATAGTGAATGTGAAGATGATTGCTAAACCCATGCCTTTCTGCTTTGCCTCTCTCGGGTGCTGAGGAACCTCTGTGTATTAGAAGCCTAATGTTACTGTCTAATATTTTGACTACATGTCTATAAATTTTTTTATTTATTTAAATATTTTGACTGTAAAAGTGGAATAGCACTGTAGGGTGGACGCTACTTTAGACTATGTGAATGAGTTTGATATTGAGGAGGAGGTAATAGTACGGGCCAATGAAATCTTCTTCAACAGATTCAAAGAAAATTTTGGTTGAAATTTTGTACACCTTATTCTGGAGGTAATATATGCATCATCCTTATGGCTTTGGAGAGAAAGAAAGATGGAAAAAGAAGTGAAATCAGAAGACAAAGATCCCCTGCTGACAGAAAAGCACCTTATGTTTATGAAAAGTGGTCACCTTCTCTCCAATTCCAATCTTCTTTTCTTGCTTGCAATTTGCACAGCTGAGGCTTCCCTCTGCTCTCTATGTTCTATGTATATGTCCTTTCACTTTTGTCATGGTTGGTTTTCAATTTCAAACAAGTTCAATGAATCCAAGCCAACAGTCACAGACTCACAGCATGCGGAGGGCTAAGACTTTGCTGCTTCTTGTTTGACTTTTAAAGAGACACCAGGGACAGACAGATAGAGAGGTTTTGCCCCATTCTTTTGGTTTGGGCCGGCTACCGCCACAATACAATTTGCCGAAAGGAAGTTGGAGAATGATACAATGACAAACTTTGGTGTTGATTTGATGCCACTTTTGTAATGGATGGGGTCCTCTCGTTTCAGAAGTTTCCGCTACACATTTTTTAACCCCGGTATAGACTTGTGGTAAGTTGGTTAGAAGTTTATATTTTTCACATATGACATTCATAAAATAATTAAACGTAGAAGTGCATTTGCTGCAAAATAACTATGTTGACAAACTTATCTGGCAAGTTTTGTATGCCTACTTGGTACTTTTCTACAGTCCATGTGATCCATGTGTTTTGTTGTTTTTATTGAATATTCATAGATTTTTGCTTGTACCTTGTCACTTAAACAACGGGTAAGGAGGATAATGGAAGGCAACCGTCGAATGGGAATGGTAGATTAGTGTCCCTGGTCCCTTTATTTCCCTTTTAACTTTCTTAAGGAATATAAAGTTTGACCCAAAGTATAAGTTTCACTGATTGTTGCTTTTTTTTTATTTAAATTTGTAGGTTATCATTGATTCTTCGACAGGTTCAATAGCTAATTTTTCTTGTGAAGTGGAAATTTCCAAGTAGATCTTTCATCCTCCTCCTTTCCTACTTAATTTTCTAGTATGCAGAATGTCATTTGTAAACTCCACTACCATGCTTCCTCCAAAAAAATTTATTATTTATGTAGGGGTGAACCACTCCCAAATGGACGTTTCTATTTAGAGGTTAGATACGAGTGTCTTTCACTTCAATCTGTACTTTTGCGCTCTGTTTACATTGTATAATTCGATCTTGGGACCAAGATGGGTGAGTGGTCTTATGAGATGTCTAGCCATTCATTTTAATTACTGCTCTTGTTCAATATTTGTGTCTTTTGATGTACTCCTCAAGTACCATATGACAAGAGCCGCATGCTTTCATTGTCTGATACATTGATTGTAACCTATTATTAATATTAATAGAAATATAGACATTGTTTTTCTCAATACCTATAGACCTTTTTCATTCTAGTATGAATTCTATCAGTACACTCCTTCAAAGAGATGACAGAATTCTGGTATAGCTGCGCGGCTATACTATTTATTGAAAACAAAAAGGCCAAAAATGGCAATACAAGCTTTATATTTCCCTCCATGCCTGGCTCGCTTCACCCAATCACTTCCCATCAAAGTCTTCAAGTTCAAGGCCAAAATAGAGTTGGGCAATATTCCTCATTTGAGCTCTCATGGCGTCTCCCAAGAAATCAAAGAAAAGCAAGAAAGATAGGTGTTTGTACAAATTTCCTCACGAGGATATTCGCCTAAGATTCCTTCGTCTTCTCCTCTTCTCTTTCTCCCTGCAAAACAGATCGGGGTAAAAGGACCACACCCGGGGGGTGTTGGCCAAAGGCCCTCCGATGCCTAAGTTAGGTAGGGTATTTCAAGGAAAACCGGGTGGCCGGAGCCGTGTGTGGTGGCCGGAGCCTTGTGTCAGAGAGAGAAAGAAAGTGGTGGCTAGGGTTTGTGCGAAATAATTTCTGCAGAGTTTCAGTAGGAATTTAGACGTACCTTGACCTTTGTGCGTAGCCAAGTATTTATAATGGTCTCGGAGATTAGGGTTTCATAGGAATAATTCCGTTGTTGGTAAGGAATTATTCCTCCCTGTTTTGGCATTGATTTGATTAATTAGGGATTCGATTTATTTGGGTAAATCAAATCCCTAATCGTGGTAGGTATCAGATCAAATCCCAATCTAATTAGGTAACTCCTCATTTAATTGGGAATTGGGGTAGGAATCAAATCAATTCCCAACTTAATTAGGTAATTCTCAATTTAATTGGGTAACTCCCAATTAAATTGAGTAACTCCCAATTAGGTTGAGTAATTCCCAATTAGGTCAAATAATCCCCAAATGGAAGGAATTATTTGACCTAGGGTTTTGATTTAATTGGTTCCCACAAATGCCCCCCAGCTTCTGCATGGCGCATGGTGGCATGTAGGAGATGTGAATTGTCTGTTGGGCTTTCCAACTGTAACTGGACTTCCCTCTTTAATTTGGGCTCCTGCGTGGAGGAGGCTTTTTACTTGCTAATTTCCTGAACACCTGACTGGAAAGTGTTTGAAATTCCTTGTAGGTCAAGGAATTTTGATCCTTATAAATATAGGGCTCCCTCAAACTATTTTCACATCACAATCTGATCCTCCAATTTCGTCAGTGAGAGAGAAAACTTTAGAAAATTGCTTCAGCTGGCTTTGTCCTCGTCACACACCCAAGGTAATTTGTCTTGGGCAGCATGTATATTTTTCCTTTTGTTCTGACTTTTGGCTGCAAGGAGGTGGTCCGTGCCTTGTGATTGGACTGGGGTATGATGGGAGGTCTGGCAGGCTGGCTGGATCAGGCCTTGCACGTGTTGGGCTCGAAACAGGGGCATGGAGGTGCTGGACCAAGAGCTGGAGCAAGGGGGAATTGGGCCATCGCGCGACATGGGCTTGCGCTAGGCAAGCTGGCCACGTGCTCCAGTTTGGGGCGGTCTGGCGCATCACCTGGGCCTCGCATGCGGAGCAGGCCTCGCTGGGCGCTCGAGCTGGGCTGGAACTCGCGCTGGGCTGGAGGCGCGAGTTGGGCTGCGCGCGCTGGGCAGTTCTTGCTGGGCTGCTTCTTCTTCTTCTTCTTCTTTTTTTCTGTTGTTTTTTTTTTTCTTTTTTTTTTTTTTTGTTGCTAGGGATTTTAACCTGCAATTTCCTTTGTTATTCTTTGCTCAACGACCATGTCTTCTGAAAGAAGGAGCCGATCACCAAGCTCGCAAGTACCCTTGTACCTATGGGGTGGCTCTCAAGTT